TGATGATGACGATGATCGTTACGTTGATGATGATGATGACAACGATGATGGTGATGATAAAATTAGTAAAACCAGTCAATTTCCAAATCGCCTGCTACTATATATGGAATTACCAAATAACTGTTGATTTTTTGGGAGTTTAAAATGAAGATGCGGATTATGCAGATGCTCCTGGACCTCCCACCATACAATAAATAGTGAAGAATTCCGTGTACAAAATAGCAAGGAAGAAAACAAAAATTAGCTAAAAAATCATCGACTAAAAATTTTAAAATGCTATCTCCATACTAGAACGGGAATTGTGAGAATTAACAAAAAGCGGTCATAAACTTCACAATTTTGAAACTAACCGCATCCAAATATTTAAAGTCTGTCACTGTTTGAAGCCACGAAGTTTGCAGTTAAAAATTAATATGATCAATGTACTTAACTTGTTTTTAAATTAGTTATTACGCGCTGAAAAAACAATATGCAAATATTTAGAAAAATTAAATTTGAAATTTATTTAAAAGTTTTTTGTTATTTGTGTCAGCTGCTTTTGTTAATTTAACTTTCCACGTTTTTCATTTTATAATTTTTTCACTGCACTAGTCACCTCCCTCCATCATACGTGCTCTGAAAGAAGAACTTCTGTGAATTTTGCCGCAGTAACCTTTCTCTGCTCGAACATCAACAGACACCGCCGCCTGCCTAAGCAGTCACGCTCTTGGCCGGGACTCGCCTCTCCACGATTGTGCATCTCCGGGTCGGAAAACACGGGCCGGAAGGAAGAGCTTTCGCGCTCTGCTTGCCAGTCAGATAATCCGGCTTTACTAACCGGTGACAAGTCTTCTTCAAACATGTTTTAAACGTTGAACGCAACAAACAAAAGCTAAGTGAAATAAATTTATTAACAAACAAGAAAATTACGATGTATGAACTAAGTCTAGGTAAAATTCCAACCACGGCTACACGAAAAAATTTGAAACGGGACGTACCAATACATAATTGCAAATATAATCAAATAACCAAACAAACACACTCACACACACAATCACAAATGCACAGGCTGAAACAGACACCCATGTACATTCACACACCATTAATTACACGATTTATACACAGCATACATTTACAACATGGTGGGTAGGCACACACACATACATGCATTTGCATATATGAGTTGAGGCATTAAATTACCCTAAACAAATTTCCGCATGGAAATATGTTACAAATATCAATGTTTCAGCAATGTGCACTATATAAACTATTTACCATATGTTTAAAACGTATACACGTATGCATACATATATATGCATACATACATACATAAATACATACATACATACATACATACATACATACATACATACATACATACATACATACATACATACATACATACATACATACATACATACATACATACATACATACATACATAAATACATACATACATACATACATGCATACATACATACATGCATACATACATACATACATACATACATACATACATACATACATACATTCGCCTGGTTGAGAGCGCTACACAACACCTCCTGGGGCACTAGATTGGATGACTCCTGTGTTTGCGTGAGCCTTGGTTTGAGACTCGGAGCCCAGATCGTCACCGAGTACGAATGCGCATGTGGGGCAAGGGTTGATGAACTTGGATACCATAGCCTTTCTTGTCGTCTAGGTCCTGGAAGACAAGCCAGACATACGGCTGTCAACGAATACCTGGTACGATGTTTTCAAAAGGCTGGTATCCCGGTTATAAAAGAACCCATGGGTTTGATAGAGGAAGGAGCCTTTAGGCCTGATGGTTACACTATCACCCCATGGGCTCAGGGACGGTCCCTGGCTTGGGACGTTACCTTACCCCACACTATGACTGACCGATATATCGGCTACACTTCAGTGGAGGCGGGCACTGCTGCCCTTAAAGCGTCCGATTTCAAAAATGAAAAATACGTTTCATTAAACAATTTAAGCAAAATATTTCAACCCATTTGCATTGAAACGTTCGGACCAACAGATAAGCACACATCATTATTTATTAACGAATTAACAAGAAAAATAGTTAATATAACGGGTGATCCTAACGAAGGCAATTATTTAAAACAAACTCTTTCACTTTTATTACAAAAATTTAATTCCTTTTGCATTCTGGATGGAGCTGCTAGATACCTGACTGTGCGAGACCAGGGACATAGATAAAAGTTAACTCGGAAACGATTGCATGCCTAACCATGGTTTGTTCATCAAAACGGGTTCATACATACATACATATACAATATACATACATACATAAAATGTATGTTTTGAACGGTTAATATTAATAATAATCCAATTAGTCAGCTGCAAAAGAGAATATAAAATGTCAGTTAAATCAAAGCTTAGCGATTCTTTTAATTGTGAGGATTACGAGCAGATTATGCGCCGCCGTGTGGCCAGCCAATAATTACCAGCCAGCCTAGAATGGACGAACGCGTTTCGCGTTATCGTTGCTTTTTTTATTTTCTTCGTTTATGTGGAAACTACGATATGAATGCGCTTGTGTGTGTGTGTATCCGTTTTTTCATGTATGTATGTATGTTTGTATGCGCGTTGGTATCTGTGTGTTTTCGTATCTGCTTGTTTGCATTTAAGGTTGAAAATATTTTTTCTATTTTTCAAATTTTTTGAATATTTAAATTGCAGATAGAAATTGATTTTAACAATTTGATGAAAAAAAAATTTGACTTTTATTTTGCTCAATATTTTAAATATTCTTTTCCAAACCTTTTCTTTATACCACTTGCAAACTCGTGAAAAAAAAGGGACGAAATGAAGGCACGTATGGAGGTAGTGTCATAAATATTGAATGATAGGATGTAACTGCTGACGGTTCGTTATTGTTGAATGATCGTTTGCCTCCAGTGCTTCTGCCCCAACCTAAATTAGACAAATCTGAAGAGACAATTTTTTTATACACGCCTCCGCAAACGTACGAAATTTTTAAAAAGAAATTTTTGGTTTCGAGAATTGATGTTTCCTGTTCGCATTTTTGTTTTTTTTAAGTCTAAGGCAATAAAGTCCATTTTCTTCATTTTTTTCAAATACGGCAATGTTAATTTGTAATTTGAGAGTCATTTTTGTGGTGAATAAATGCAATTGATTTCCAATTAACTTGATCAATTTGCTACAAGTTTTTAATCACAAGATGCTATTTATTTCAAAAAATTTATTTTATTTTTAAGTAATGAAATAATCAAATCATTCATGAGTTTATCATGTCAATTTTTTATATAACCTATTTTTTTGGCAGAAAAACTTGAAATGAAGGTTACCATTTTAACAAACTGATGGTAACATAATATTATTCAGCATCTTACAAGCAAACAACAAGCAAACCGCCGTAGAAAAAAGTTCTGAAACTTCAAAAATGATATAGAATTACTTTATGACAATGGCGTGGAAGAGGAGGTTGCGTGTAATAACTTCTCCGTGACGCAACGCAACACGATTCCACGAAGATAATTACAGCTTAAGATATCGCCACTGCCACTCAAACTTCGTGACTTTGCCTCATATACACACCACAAAACTCAACAATACCCAACCTCGACACCTCAGATGATCATCAAACGATGCTTACCGCGTCGACTTTTCTGTAAATTTTGTATCGTCCTGAACTCAGTTAAAATATGAATAACAACTGGATAGGAATATTAACAATAGTAAAATAATAAAAAATGCATGGCGACAAAAAAACTTCAACCACAACAATAAAATAAAAAACATCACGACAACTGTAACAACAAAAACCTTAACAGCATCACCAGTGCAATACCTATGACATTGAAAACATCAACGTACATTTGACAGTGTCTGTAACATAAACAAAATCAAAGACAACAACAACAAAACCAACTACAAAACAACAAAAACAGCAACAACAACACTGACAACGACAACAATAGCAACAATAATAAATGAAACGCTTGATGTCTTTGTTATGTTGGTTCCATTGCATCTGCAACAACATCAAAAATAACAACACCAACAACAACAACACCTACAACTATAATATTAACAACATCTACAACAGCAGCTACGCCTACAACAACTGCAACAACAACATTAATATCACAACCGAAGGAACCACAAAGAGTTTTTGGATAGAACTTTACCATTTGATCATTTTTTATTGAACTGTTGAATATTTAATGGCAGGGAAAATTTATTTTTCATCATGTTCTATTATGTTTTGAATGCAAATGATTATTATATAGCGCACGATTATTAGTTAGGAATGTTTTTTTAAAAATAATAAAAGGTACAAAAACAAAATAATTTATCAAAAAACATAAAAAAAATGATTTTCATTTGAAATTGAGCCGTTGTAGGCGCTTTGAAAAATTTTGAAACTTTTTCTTTGCAGATGCATACAAATTATTGATGCGAAAGTTTTATGAGCTAATTGTGTTAACTTTCTCCACTACACAAGCAAACATCTCAAACTTAACACATGATCGTGTCGCCTTCATTTCAAGAGTTCATTGAAAATTTTAAAAACAGAGTAACATAAAAAGAAACAATGACACAACTCAACATTTCACAGTATTAAAATAACATCAAAAATTTTAACTTGCTCAACATCCTTGTATCGATAATCAAAAAAAAGTGGAGCTGGCATATAAAAATCCAAAACAACGCAAAAACAACGTTGGAGCATATGAGAATATGTTTGAAATATGTGCACGTAACTGCTTTCTTGTGCCTAATTCAACAGGACAATTAGGTCTGGTAACATAAAATTTACACATAGGTGTGTAAATGTGAAACTATCGGCTACATATAAAGACAATTCTTTTTTGCCTGTTAAAAGGAAACAAAAACAGAAAATATACATTTTAATATCAGCAAAAGTTGTTTGATATATTGACATGACATAAAATAAATAAATAACTCTGAAAAAAAATACACGTTAATTGAATAGTGTGCAACATACAAATGAAACGAAAGATAACTCGGTCGGTTGTTTCAAAAGATATCGGTGTGTGGTGAGCATGGTGCAATTCTTACCGTAAAGACAAGTGCATTGTTCATATTTTTAAGTAAAGTACAAGTTTTATGGATCAAACATTAATTAAAAGTTAATTGAAGATAAAAATTTCAAACAATTCAAGAAGACGGCCTTCATCGATGCAAAATGAATAAAAAAATGAAAGAAAAATATAGCGACATGTAAGAAACCAAACAATATGAACAAACATAACAAATTATATTGGAATGTTTTGTAAGAACCTCTAAGCAAGTTCAAAACGCCTAGCATAACATCTAATTTATTTGATAAATAATTTAATCTTATTAATGAATTGAAAAATTTTCACTATTTTTCTTAAAAAAGCGAACAATTTTCACCGTTCCTCGATTAATGTCTTTGCATCATATTTCTATGACTGAAATAATTACATCAACAATTTCAGTTTACAAAAATTTTCAAAAAGAAAAACGTCAGGAAGAGGCAACTTGACAAAAAACATCCGTCACAGAAAACGTTTCCCAGTTGTCAATAAAATCAAATCAGAGCAAGGTCGACCCTATTTTATCAAACTTCACAAACCTGAATAGCATCATCATTCATACACTACACTACACACACACACACACACACACACACACACACACACGCACAAAAACACACACACACTCACAAACTAAACGTTATTCGAATTTTGCTCATCTTTTTTATCAAAAATTGTTAAATTTGAAAACCATTTTGCACTATCTGCTATTACTTTTAACAAAAACAGCCGGAGAATTGGATTGAACTCTTTTTACTCTTTCCTTTGTGGCATCCATTCTTTCACAATAATGGTTGTTGCAATAACTAATATTGCTGTTTTTAACAACGCTACAATACTGTCTTTCTTTCACAAATGATACGACTACTACTACTACTACTACTACTACTACTACTACTACTACTACTACTACTACTACCACTACCACTACCACTATCACTACCACTACCTCTACCACTACTACTACTACTACTACTACTATACTACTACTAAATATCAATTCCTCCAAGCACTGTTAAATTAATATTGCATCAGTTATGTTGATGTTTTTCATTCTTTATAATGCTATAATGTTATCTAGACTTGTAAATTAAACATTCCTGCCAAAATGTCTGTATTATCCAGACCATAAGACGTACTGCACATACACTTAATGTATGCACACGCAAGCACCACATCGTTCGCCTATGATGGTCTTTGAGTTTCTGTCAGACAGTATTCGAACCACACCACCGCGTAATAGCGTACCGATACATGGCACTTTTATCGACTGAGCAAACTCGGCTGTTGTTGTTGCTAGTGCCACCATTCACTTTACTACAAAGTAGTTTTTAATGACGTCATCAATTTCAACACATCATTAAACACGCTACATCTTTTTCCTTTACTTATACTATAACAATCACTTCTGTTGATAATACTGTGTTCACAACATGCCACTTATTTGTATCATGGCTTTTATCATATTTCAAACTTATAAAAATATGTTTGTAATTATATTACAACTATTCTTATTATTTCATAATTTACTCAATTTTTTCAAAAATATAGTGAGAAAGTGATAAGAAGTGAGGCGTTTAATTATAAAAACATCAGCGATTGCATCGTTCAGACATGACTAACTCAATCAAACATTTCCAGTGGCAAAAGTAACAAATCAGTAGAAAGAAAGAAAGAACATCAAACTAGCACTGTGGAACATGAGATAAACAACAAGTTATTTTTACTACTGTCCTTAAAAAGAAAGGAAAAGGCAGGCAGGCATGCAAATGTTAATAAATTATTTAAGCCATCCCCCAATCCACATGATCAGCGAGGCATACTCTTATGCATGGTTTAACACATAACGATGCCTACCTACCTACCTACCTGCTTGCTTGCTTGCATGCCCGCGACACATTGCGCCGTCGATAAATCAGCATATTATGTGCAAATGCATTTAGAAATGCAATTTGTGATTGTTTGTACACTTTCGTAAATGCAGAAAATCCGTTGAGGATTTTAAACGTTGGATTAGAGGAAGCAATTGCTTCTGATGTTCCATCCTGAACTCGCTTGGGCAGTCATGGAAATATAAAGATTATAAGATTCAGTGCACTCTGCTGATTGGCATCACGTTACAATATAATTGAGCACTTATTTATTTACAAAATTAATTGAAGATACTTCAAAAAATATTAGTTAAAGATACAAATAAACTCATTCGTCTTTCTATCTCTCTCTCTCTTCTTTCTCTCTCTTCTCTTTCTCTCTCTTTCCTCTTTTTATCTTTCTCTTTGTTCTCTTTCGTTATTTACACAAAAAAATATTTATATTTAGAGAGAGAGATTAATAGAAAAATGTTGACCTAAGTGCAAAAACCAGCAATACAATTTTATAAATAACTTTCAATATTTGAATTTTTGCAGAAGAATGCCGGATCAATTCTAAAAGTAACTAATTTTCATTATTTAATGTTACATAGATTTCATTCGCAATGGAAAACGCAATGAAATGCGTATACTTGAGCAATTTAATTTAATAGATCGTATTTAATAAAATTACTCAAGATCGTTAAACATAGAACTCTTTAGAAAATAGTACCTTGAAAAATTAAGGATGAAATGAATTAAGGTAGAGATTAGAAGAAAATTGTTAGATTTTGTTGAACCTGAATAACGCAAAGTAAGTTCTGTGACAATAAAAACTTGTAAATATAGAAAAATGATTTTTTTAACAAAAAAAATTCTTCATTTTCTAAACGATGAATAGACCAAATTACTTCTAAATGAAACTCAATAGCCTGAAAATTGAATCACGTGATTTATTATTTAATGATGCTTTAGGAGATGTAATTTCTTTTCAATTACTAATTTTACTTAACATAGTAGGCAATTTATCAATATTTTGTGGTTTTGTGTTGTGGAGACGTACTAAGTGGAAGCAGGGCTATCTTCATAACTGAGCAAAGTTTTTATAGATCATGCTCCATGTTTTCTTCGTAACTCCAAAAATTATTAGCATGCTGAAGTTCAAATAATAAAAATACATTATACGTGATATAATTATGAAAAGGTAATTTTGTAAAAATAAGAATGCAACAATTAACTTCAAATTTGGAGCCTACAATTTTTATGGAAAATTTTGTCATCTTTAAATTTATTTAGTTTATTTTTTTATGAAAACCGGTAAAGCTGATGATAGATATGAATGAAAATTAAAAAATTTGTTGTACCTTACGCCTAATCTAATTTACTCCACTCGACTTAGAGTTTTAAAAAAATTTTATTATTGAATTATCAAACAAAGATGAATATTATTTTAATGAATGAATGAATGAATGAATGAACGAACGAACGAACGCACGCACGCACGAACGAACGAACGCACGCACGAACGAACGAACGAACGAACGCACGAACGAACGAACGAACGAAAAAATGAAGGATTTTCCATTCTATCTGCACAAGTCCTTCATTTATTTACTCATACGTCCATAAAGAGTTTGAAAATTTATAAAATTCGCAATAAAGGACCATTCTTTATATTTTCCTCATTAGATTTAAAATCATTTTAATGTAGAAATAAATTAAAGAAAAAAAATGACAGAATATATTTTTCAGTACATTTTTTTGATTGTATTCCTGGTATTGCCATTTATCTTTCAAAATTAAGTCCTGAAACAAGCAATAAACAACATGCACGCATATCAGCACACTCCTTGCAACAAACAACGTCTACTCAAATTTATGTACAGATATAAATTAAGCAGAAATACAACGACAAGCCACGTCAAGAGCACGGAGACTGCAGTTTCAAAACAGCTGATGCAGCAGTAGCAGCACTGTCAAACATGTAAAATAAAACTTCTCAATGAGAAAGTTCGAACATGAAAATTTTCTATTTTCTATTTGGCCATCTTTGTTTACTTTTAGTCAGATAACCTTTAACATTTGCAGATAAATTCTTTCATATCAGAAAAAAAAACTATTGAAAAATGAAAATTCATAACTGAACATCCATAGCAAAGGAGGAAACAAATTTAAAACAACTATAACTAAAACAACAAGATGAAAATGAAATAATATTGACAAAATAAAAATAACTGTTTCAAATGGAATTATTTATACTATCATAATTACCACTTCTACAACTACAACACTACTACTACTACTACTACCACAACTAAAGCTACTTCTACTACTACCACTACCGTTATTATTATCATTATCATTATTGCTACAACTAACTAAGGTTAGTAGTAACCAACAAAATGGAAAAACAAAAAAACTCAAAAAAAAATTGCATCATCGTCTACCGCGTTATGCTAAAAGGTAAAAATCGGACGGCACACATGAGATAGGAGGTCGTTAACCACAGAACAGGTCGCTAACATCTCGATGTAACCACTACAATGCCCAACGACTGCAATGGCGAATTTCAAAAATTATCTTCGATTTGAAATTCTATTGAGCGTGGCAATTTCGTTGGATTCTGTCTTGACATAAATGACTGAAAAACAATTCTTTTACATATTGAATTTATATCATGAAAGGCTCATCTAAGCTTTTTGAGTAAGTAAAATTGCGATTTCAATAAACCATTACAAGCAGCCCACTGAATTAATATTAATTCTTAATCAATTTGTCATTATTGAAAAAATAATTTTTATTATTTTAAACTAAAAAAATTTAACATCAAGAAAACTTTTCCATTTAACTTTTTATTTCAAACACACCATACCATACTGTCGTGGTTTGCATGTTCGACACTTCATAAGAGTTAAGCGCTGCACGATAAAAGTGAACCTGGTGTTGACGCATAGTGTAAATGCAGAAGTACTGGCTAGATAGAACAGGTGTTATATTATTGTTATGTCGCTGCTGTTACAAGAATAGATTGTTGATATTGTTAGTTGCAATTACATTGGATAGCTTAGAAGTTTAGGAACGTCAAAAGTCGACGCAGTTCAACAGTCTCGATGGTACGTTGGTTGTAACAATGGTAGTTTCAGTTACGCGTTACAACAACATCTTCGTCGTCGTCAAACAGTTTTAGTTTCAGTTAACTTGCTACAACGTCAACTTGGTCGTCAAACAGAGTTTTTTGATGAATTAATATTTCAGCAAATTTTATTCAGCATTGTCGTAAAGTGATCTTTTATTTTGTTCGTTACTTGAAACTGTTAAAATAAAATATTCATAAACCTTTCTCTGGTTGCATGTGTTTATTATTAAATCAATAAGATTTTAAGGAAATTTAAAAAAACCCCGACACATGCATACACATATAGAAATAGAACTTGAAGTCTTACAAATTTGAGAAACCTTCATTGAACGAATGTAAATAAAAATGACGTCGAAAAAATGAAAACTCTGAAACCCTCTGAAAACTAAATAACTAACAAATTCAAACAACAACTTCGAACTCCATAAAACCGGTTCTAAAACAGAAATTTCTTCAGAATTGAACAAAACAAACACTATAAAACGGGAACAAAATTAATTTTATTAATAAATTTATTTGTGAGCAGTCAAAAACTTAAAACATAGAAAATAGAAAAACGGACAAAAATAAAAAACAAACTCCATCAGCGAAAATGACAAAAAATTCAAAATAATAACTGCAATGCACCGTGCGAACTCTCTGCATTCAGATGATTAACAAACTGGCGGATGCATTAATGGGTAGAGTGAACGAATGAATGAATGAATGAATGAGCGAGTGAATGAATAAATAAGTGAGCAAATAAAAAAGTGAAATATGATTAAATAAATGATCGATTGTTCTTGGAAAATTATCTCAAGAGAGTTTGATAATGCATAAACTGGCGATGTGGCCCGATAAATCGGGAATGGATGATCAAACGATTCCATCTCTTCATTAAGACAATTCGACTCAATAAGATTGAGGATGGCCACAGCGATGGAGAAGACGATGATGATGAGGAGGGTATGGAAAAATCGAAACCGTTCTAATAGAGAAAATTATGTCTATGAAGATGATGAACTTATAATTGATGTTGAGAATTATGATAACAATTAGTGATACATTGAAAATTATGTGTTGTATCAATGATCAATTATATGATTATGATGATCATGAAAATTGTTACTGCGTGATGAAATAATAGCTAGGTACCTGAATGAATGGAAATAACATGTGCCAAATAGTAACGTGCTATTCCAATGAGTAGATTTCGTGAATGTATCAATATCAATAGTTTGGACCATTCGAAAAAACACCTGATATTTCTGAACACCATTTCATGTGTTTCTACGATTTTAAGTTACTTTTTATTGAAACCAATAAACTTTTTACAAAAATAAATTTAAATATATGTGTTAAGTCTAATATATCCGAGCTATTTATAAAATTTGAAAAAAAATTTCAAACCAAAACCCACATCCATAAATTTGTGGGCTTTGTTTTAACTTTCTATATATTAAATGTCATCATAACATTTACTAGAACAGGAATAAAAATAGTAAAGGTCAGCGTTGAATGTAAAATTTATCGATGCCAACCTCGGCAGATGTGTAACAAACAGTACATAAACTACAAACAAACAGCAACAGAAATCATGCGTGATGTCTGTCTATTGTTCATTCATTTCTTTCATTTTTATCACGCTTTTCAAGCATCTTTATTTAGGTTTTAAAACATCTATAATAAATAATTGTGAATGATTTATCATCTATTAGACATTAGATTGTGTTACAGAAACAATGAATACATTGTTACATTAAATTGTTTTTTTTTCAAATAAAGCATATAAATAGCAAAAATTTCCTGTTTGTTATACCGATAGCAAAATTATGAAAAACACTTTTTTTTGAAAAGATAACAGTGTCGAATTACTAACACATCTCTGCATGAGACACAAACCACTTACAAAAAATTCCAAACAAGCGCCGTACAATAATTGTCATAAAATCATTTCATGCCATAAACACAACAACAACAACAACAGCATCACAAACAACAACAACAACAACAACTGCAAAACAACAGCAACAACAACAGCAACAACAACAGTAACAAACTACAACTACGTCACCGTAAGACCATTATTAGGTTCAACAACAGCTCACTAATCAACGACATTTAGTCGAGGATTAACACCGAACCATACAAACATATCTTGATAAAGAAACAAAAAGTTTTGATATCTACACTAAAGATCGCATCAACAATTATAAAATAATGAAGAAACACAACAGTAACAATCACAACCAAATCCAAAATGACCACAATATCACCAACATTAAGTAACAGCAATTTCTAAATTCAAATCACAATCACATTAACAACAAAATAAACTACAAAAACAATAAAACAATCAATAACATTAATACCAACATCATTCACAACAACAACAACCACAACTAAACCAACCGCAGCCACGACAACAACACGAACAAAAGCAACATCTCCAACAAAAAAAACAACTAATGACAATGTAAACTGACCATAAATAACTTTACTGGTTTTGTTGAGGCGAGACCAATTGTTGAGCAACAAACTGTTGGAATGTTGCTTCTTCACAAAAAGTTTTACAACGCCTGTAAAGGGGGATAATAAAAATAATTAGATTCCAATTTGCATGCATCATTTTTATCACTATCCGAGCAGCTCATTGAAAAATTGAATCAGAGAAAAATTACCCGTCTAATTATGTTTAACGGTTTTTAGAGTAATTCTAAGTAAATTGAAATAATTTAATTTAATTTAGGAAAAACTGTTAAATAAAAAATTTAATTAAGCAGTGAACGGATGTTGCAATACTTTAGACAGCCTTCAATCACTTTCAATCAGTTTCACTAGAATTTCAATCAGTCAGCCTCTTCAACTGATCAATCATTGCGAGCAATCAATTAACCAGAGCAATCAATCTACCGTCGTCTTCGTCCTCTTCGACTTATCAATCTTTCCAGCTAATCAATCGCCACAATCGATCAGAAGAATATTAAAATATAAAACAGTTGCATCGAAACTGTTGAACACACGACATGTATCTATCCTGAAAAAACAGACACCAGAATGCATGCAGTCAGCAATCAAATTTGCAAGTTCAACATTGCTTAGCAAGATGCCGACATCATCTTCAACAACATCAACCTCATCCTCAACAAACATCAACACCATCCTCAACAACAACAACATCCTCAACATCAACTTCATTCTCAACAACAACATCATCCTCAATGTCAACATCATTCTCAACAACAACAACAACAACAACAACAACATCCTCAACAACAACAACATCATTCTCAACATCAACATCATCATTCTCAACAACAACAATAACATCATCTTCAACAACAATATTCTTAATAACATCAACATCATCCTCAACAACAACACCATCCTCAACAAACAACAACATCATTCTCAACAACAACGTCATCATCTTCATCATCGTCAACATCACTTAAGTATTTTTTGTTTATTTTTCAATTAATCAAAAAAATTATAGAACATAAAATCACAGCTGAAAACAAAAACCAAATAAGTAAAGAAACAAAATATGCATAAAAATATTGAAAATTTATTAAAAAAAAAGCAAACCTATCTTCAAACTCTTCGGCAGAGCAACAATTAAATGTGTCGTTGGTTTCAATCTGGTGTCTCTACATTGTTGCGCAACCACGTCAGCATCCTTCCAACAACAAATGCAACAAATGGCAGTTGTAAACAGTTGCAAAAGTTTTTGATGAAGAATTTGGTTCATTGTGTAAGTTGGTCGGCCGGCTGGCCGGCTGGCTGGCTGGCTGGCTGGCTGGCTGGCTGGCTCGCTGGCTTCAACAGTTGCAGAGTTGTTTTGTTGTTGTTTTTTTTCAAAATATTAACTTCAAATTGTAGTTTATGATAATGTTGTAAATTTTTACGCAGACAAGTGCAGGTTTTTATTTGTAGTTGACGTTTTGTTGGCGAGCCTCCAACAATTACAACTTTTTTCTGCTCTTGTTGAAAGTTACCTGTTGCCGCTGCCAATTGCTGGATTATTTTCTTTTTGAGGGTGTTTCCTTTTCAATTTTCGCTTTTAAAAATCGAAATTTATGATCAAACAATTAAGTCCTTGGCAGTTACGTAACGTGTATATATATATATACACACACAAAGCAGATCAGCACTTCAACTTTTAAAAAAATTTGCTAGTAGGAATTTTTTAGTTATTTTATGAGGAATTGAAAATAAAAAAATAAACTTTAATAGTATTGAAGAAAACTTCAACGTCGAACATCAGACGAGTCAGTTGCATGAATTTGAAGTTTCATTAACTAGCAAGGTTTTTAAGTAAAAGTAAATTAAATTAAATTAAAACTTTTGTAAAAATTGTTTCCAGAAAATCTTCAGATATTGATTCCTGGAAAAATGAATATATTTTTTTGACCAGTATAACATTAAATGAAACGAGAATTTCCATTTCAGTGTAAAAGAAATGAGCGTTAAATAAATTTATATAGTATAGTTAATTAATTTGAAAAAAAACTTGGCGACTATACGAACATTTAACAAACTAAATAGTACAAAAAAGAAAATTGCACAGCAACATAACTAGACAAACATACATAAAACAATATTAAAATGAACGTAAGCAAATTTATACACACACCACACAAATACACACACTTAAGCACACTTACACAGACAAACCTACACACAGACACACACACACACACACACACAAACATGCTGATAGACAAACAAATGGTCCCGTACACGCGCAACAGACTGTCTCCTGTTTGCAAATTTATTCTTTTAAACCAAGGTTTTATGCCTGACGTTTGCTGACCCTATTGTAGTTGTTGATGTTGTTGTTGATGTTGTTGTTGATGATGTTGTTGATGTTGATGTTGTTGATGTTGTTGTTGTTGATGTTGTTGTTGTTGTTGATAATGTTATTGTTGTTGGTGTTGTTGTTGATAATGTTGTTGTTGTTGTTGATGTTGCTGTTTTTGTTGTTGTTGAAAAACTTTTCTTGTTGCTTGATTTGTTATAGTTACTGATTTTGCATTGAAGATAGATGCAGCAGCAAATTTTATTGTCATTGCTTTCGATTAAATAATTTTTACTGGCAATTTCTTATTTCGCAGACGTTTTGTTGTTTAAATAGTTGTTTTAATTGTTGCTGTGGTTAACGTTGTTGTTATTTGGACTTTTCGGATTCGTTATGTGTTGAATTTGTTTCTGTTTCAAATGTGAATATCCTTCTACTTCTGTTTTTTGTTCGTTTGTTGATGTTGTTGTTTCTTTGAAGTTTGTAGTCTAATTTGTTGTTTGGAAATGACTGTCAATTTCGTTTTTTTGATGTTAACGGTTTTGTTGTTTAGTTTTTGTAATATATTAGGTCATTTTATATAGTGCTGAAAATTCTTTCTCATTTTTTCAATCATAAAAATTTTGTGGAAAAGTCAGTATACAATGACAAAACTTATTTGAAAACTAATTAGCTTAAATTAAAATAAATTCAGATAATTGTGAATACTAATTGAACGCTTAATTTATTCAAATTAACAAATAACCCAACAAATAAACTCAAATAAAGTTGTAGAAACGCAGTAAAACAAAGCAACTTCAACATCCATAAATAATTAACCAAACATATCACCAGGAAATGAGAAATAATATGACCAAGACTTTTCCAACTAAACATTCATTAGTTGCTTATTAAAAATTTAGCTACTGCATGTCACAGCAATTGTACTAATTTTGTATAGTTTGGCGTTTACGTGTTTGTATGTGTGTGTGAGTGTGTGCGTGTGCGTGTATTTGTGAGTGTGTGTGTGTGTGTAGTGTCTGACTGATCGCGTTGGTGTTTGTCTTTTGAAGATTTATGTTTGTTTGTTTTTTTTATACACGCTTCTAGTCATTTTTTGATTTTGTGCGTGTGGTTGTAGATCAACCTAGCAAAAAAATATGTCTCACGAGACGTGTAAGCAATTATAACATTTCCTTTTAGGAACAGCTCAATAATCACTTAATTTATTTATTCAATCGTCTCAAATTTATCGTTGAATTTAAATAATTTTTCACCGAAACTTGGAATTAACGTTATAAAAATAATTATAATTTTATTAGTTATTATAAATTTTTCACCGGTTTGCCAATGTAAACACTAGCAAACCGGTGGCCCCTATAAAAAAAATTGTATTTTACACTTGAACCAACAACATCCTAAACAAACAACAGAAACAACCAACAACACACACATACACGCAGCAACAACAAAGAACTCAACGCTAGACAAAATCTCTTCTAGGCCGAAAACAACAAATCAATTTAAGGAATTGTAGAAGCATGCATATTGGCAGCAACTAATGTGAATGATGATGATAATGCTGGCAACTGTCCTCATAAGATGAACTGCCACAACCAGGCACACATCATCCACGATCTGCATCATGAATCGCTTCAATGCTCCTATATAACAATTTTTCAATTGCACTCGCAACATTCGTTCATACATTCATACATTCTTATCACATCAATGTTTACTAAATATTTTATTTTATTCTAATAATTTATTTAATAATTTGTAAAACATTCATTCCTACATACGTTCGGATTACACAAACTCAAAAACATGAAAGTTCGTAAACACAAATAAAATACTGCATTCTAAACTGATTCGTTGGTGTTTTTGTTACCATTGTTATTATTCATCCATATTTTTTTTCTTAAAATGTTTTCAACGAAATCAACATTCAGCACATGGACAGGCGTGAATTCAGATATCAGACAGGGACATGTGACAGACCTAGATCACAGTGCGTTTGAAGCAGGGCTTTGAAACACAAACACAATATATCGACAAATCACTCCCGTTTACTTTTCATGCTTTATTTTCTGTCAGACTCTAAACCAGGAAAAAAACTTTTAATTTGTAGCACCACAAAAAACCAGCATTTTCAAAAACTTGAAAAACTTTATAAATATGAAAATTGGCCTTCAGCAAAACCAAGACAATACTTGTAATACTTGTGATGGAAATGGATGGAAAAACAGACTTACAATGCTGACATTTTTATATTATGCGTGTATGTTATACAGTAACTGGGTAAATATTTAAACAAATAATTTGTATAATAGTTGGTGAAAACTACATTAAGTAAAATAAGAACTACAATATAAAATTGTTAAACTCCCAAAAGCATCATCAAGATGTGAGTTAACGTATTACATGAAATAGACGAATCTTGCGACCTCACTTGTACGTATTTACATACAAAACATATATATGCGTGCGTGTACAAAACACATGTAAGTGATACAAAACAAGTAAATAATACAAAACATTTAAACGATGCAAAACATGTAATTAATATAAAACATGTAAATGATACAAAACATTTAATAAAACAAAACACGTGCGCAGACAAAATCAGTCTTTTTTTCTTAAGTATTTAAATGAAAATGATAATATTTAATATATTTTAATTTGATCAAAGAAATGTTTCTGAAATTAATTATAAAACAAAATAAAGTTTTGAATTTTTAATGGAAAATGTAATTAAAAAATATACTAAAATGATAATCTCGGTTGCTAAAAAAAGTTGGGAGCACACGTCTGAATGAACGAGGGATTGTAAAGAGAGTTGAAGGAAGGATTGCTAGAGGTGTTGAATAATAGAAGACATGCTGTGTTGCATGAGGATGTGTGTGTGAGTGTGTGTGTGTGTATATATCTGTGTGAGAGAAAGAGAAAGAGTGAGAAAGAGAGAGAGAGAGGTGTGATAAAGAGAGAAAGAGAGGGAGAGAGAGAGAGAGACAGAGGATGGATAGACCTTGAATCCTATTGGGATATGACATCATACAGTTTATTCAAAACACGTTTTTGGTTAAGACTCACTTGAATATTTTCAGTTTAGATATGAAAAATTAAAAATATAATTTAATTTTTTACATGCTCTGAAACTTTAAAACCCACAAGATAACTTTTTATCATCTTCATATCATATCATCGTCGTAACCAAACATTAAAAATGTCCAAGAAATAACCTGATATTATTATTTGATAACTTTTCAGTCTAACAAAACATTACAAAAACGTACCTAAAACAGCACCAGTTGCAATCGCAATTGTGTTTGCAATCGAAATTGTTGCTGCATGTTTTTCTTCGAACACCTGGTAGAAACTTCCTTCCAAGTATGTACCAAGTACCATCTCATGTGCACAGCCACAGTGCAAGCCGTTCATTTAAGTGGCGTATCAATTAGCCTTCAAGACTGTTTATAAATTTTTTTAGAGTATTTGTATTTTTTTTTATTTTTTAAATAAATGTTTCTATTAAAAATTTTGTAACAAAATGATTCAAGATTCAAAGCTCTCAAACATGAAAACAATATAAATAAACAGACAAATGCAAAAACATTTAAGGTTTTTCAGTTGTTCAAAATTTAACTACAGATTATTCATTTCGAATATACAACTGCGTCTGGATTGCTTGTTTTACATACCACCAGACAACATCGTGTTTCTGAAAAAGAAAATTAATGAAAAAATACAAAGATATAGAAGGGGATCGTCTTAACCAAAGATATAGAAAATGATCGTCTAAACAAAGATAAAAATGTGATCTTCTTAACCAAAGACATAGAAAGAATGCTATATATATCTTCAACCAAGAAACTTTCAATCGGGAAAAAAAAATTTTTTGAAATTTTTTTTTTATTCAATTTGAAATTTATGTGAAATTTTTTTTCAAAGTGTAAAATAATAGTTACAGAAATTATTCCATGCATGACAGACAGCCAACCTGAACGTTGGAGAATTCACCCGACACCTAATGTGAAACTTTCATTTTTTGTTTTTATCATCAATACTAAAAATCTTTTTTTTTCATTTAAAAAACCGAGGGTTCTATAATGTAGAACGTACATAAAAATTTTGAAATAGCTGACATGGTAAAATGTTCATTGTTCATGGAAATACAAGATATTGAATCAGGGCCGTTTTAAGTTCACCGTAGGCCCAAGGCACTTATAACAGCATTTCTAATATCTACGCGAATGCACCCGCACTTTTTTGCAATTTGAAACCTGAATAAACTTTCGAAATTTTTTATAATCCTATAGTCTCATTGCACGCACCGCAATTACATCGTGATTCCTCGTTTATCGTTGACCGTGTACTTCTTTGTTTTCAATATTCAATGTTACTCTAGCTGTGGTAGGCCGTTGAAAAGTTCATAGGTCCTAGGCACTGTACTTACTCTGCCTAGTACATAAAGCGTCCCTATGTTGAATATGTTCTATTCCATTAAAAATTAAGAAACAAAAAAATTATATTGTTGAAAAGATAGAAACCATTTATATCCAAATAAATAGTTATTATGTTGTCGCTAGATAAATGAATCATGCGTGCAAGAAATCAAAAACAAAAATAAAAAGTGGTACAACCCAAGGGGGGTTTTACAACTTATCAACAAACGTTTTAAACATTATATGCCTCTTGCTTCTTCTTTCAATAAATATTATCGTGACAAATATAAAAATACATAAGCCCATATTTCTGTAGCGGTATATGTACATTTAATGATTTAATAAAACAAATTATCTTTAGACAACAGATGTTTGCTGGAGATATTGATCATGCGAAAGGATGAATGAAATTTTTTTAATAGCCTAGCTATATTACATCAATCTCAATTTTATTTCAATCTAACCCAGTTTAATCAAAATTATAAATATCAACATGTTTAACAATTGTTTTAATGTTTACACACGGAAGAAAAGTTAACAGAAACAAGCCGTTTAATTAAACGCATACATTTCGTACAAATTATCTACTCAATAAATCATATTAACATGAAAATAATTCGTCTAATCATTCATAATAGATTGACGATAATTAGATCCTCGAGCCCAATCACTCGGGCGCGTAATAAAATTATTTGCTTTGTTTATTAATAACTGAGATGACAGCAATATAATGCATATCATTAGACCTGCCTGTGAATCAGTTTGCCAACCTGTGTGTCTCCGCTTATTTGTGTTGTCATAAGCGTGTGCAGCATGTTGAATTATTATAAGTATGAGAGCTGATTGAATTCAGACTAATTTAAATTTCAATATTAATAATTGGAGAAAGAAGAAGAAGAATCAATTTTATTTTAAGTTAATTCAATTCGTTTATTCTTGTCCGATCAAATCAAATTGATAATAATAAGTTAGATTTTTATCACATCAAAAATGTAATGGCCAATCATTTTGCGCTATATCTAGCCTTTTTTGAGTTATTAATAAACTTGTAATAGAAAACATAAACTGTCGATTTTAATTGTAAAAATAAATTGCAGAGAGGCAAAGTGGTAGCCGACCACAACACAACAGGACAAACGCGCAGGCAGTCCAGTATGAAGGCATGGATGTGGGCAATAATATTTATTGACCCGTGTCTACCCAAGACATCCACTTCTATTTAGGAATACTGTTCCCATCATTGACAGGATTATGGCGCCATTATTTATGATCTGTCCTCCATAATGTTCGGCTCTTTTATGCTTTCCACAGAAATTTCGTTTAAACAAAATTACTTTGTTCAAATTATAGAAAAATAATCATCAAAATCAAAGTTTGTGAATTTGTTTATTATATTTAAAAAAAATCAAGTTTGGCATGAGGGAGTTTTTTATTTAAACAGCAACACAGCAGATGTTATTGTACCATTTACTAGTTTTGTAATATATTACTTTATACCATACGTTTATACATAATGCTTCTTTTTAGTAGTACAGTAAAACTCCTGAAGAGCGAGATCCTAATAGGCAGCACAGTGAAGAGTAACGGACAGTACCGCTCAGCACCGAACTGTCTTACATATTTAATTGCCTCTAAAGAGCAGACTTTTTGAAATAACGACATACAGACGGGCTTTTTGGTACAAAATTACTTTTAAGTCATAAAGAACCGACAACTTATAACCAAATTTTTTTAATTTCACAAAAATGCTCTAAGAAAGCATTATTAATCTTTGGTTCGCTTCTCAAGAAGGTTTTTTTTGCTTTATTTATCATGATCTTGTTACTTTCGTCGTTAAAAAATCGTTCATCGTCAAAAATGGCGTTGCAAGTAGAAAATTTGAAAACTTGAAAGAACGAATTTGCCAGTTGTTCCAGAGATTAGATGGTGGAAATAACATTAGAAAGATTGCTGGGAAATTTCAATGCGTAAAAAAAATTATTATTATCATCATCAACATCCTTATTATAGTCACGATGCGACGACAATGATGTCATTGATGACGTCAATGATAAAAACAACAATAATGACATAGGCTGACCTTAGACAACTTTGACTGGGAGGTCCAAAAACTGAAAATTTTTTGTTGTAATGATAATGTGGCCTGAGCCAGTTGTCAGTTGGTGACCTCTTTTTTTAACTTAACGCAAAAATGTTTGCCACATTTTTATTTTAAAATGGTGTTTCCGTATAAAAAAAACATACCTAATAAAA